TGGCGGCGGCGGCAGGGGTCTGCCTGGGCCGGTAAGTCCGGCGACCTGAGCTGAACCGGCCCAGGGGCCGTAGGTTGCCGGCCCCTACCATAGGATGTTGCCAAGTTGCATTTTAGTGCTATAATTGTAAGGGTACCAAGCTTAGCTGCCATCTCCTTTCTTCATCCCAGCTTTATAGTTTAGGGTGAAAGACAGTCTGTTCCTTGTTGCTATAGGTAAACAGCTTGGAGTCAAAAATTCTGGTCAGCCTATTACAAATCAATGAGAGATCTACAAGTATACCCAAATATAACTATTGTGAACCCTTGTGCCAGGGGAGAGGACTGTTCATATTTAGAGTTGTTTTTGTGATGGTTGTGTGCCTTAAATTTGTTAAATTTGCCTGCAACCCCAAGGCAACCCTATCATGGAGTTTTCAGGGGCTGAGAGTACGTAAGTTGCCCCAGGTGGGTTTCCATGGCTGAGTAGGGAATTGAACCCTGATCTCCAGAATCCAGCGCTTAAACCACTACACAGTGTTGGTGAGATGACTTTAAATAATTTCCATAGCATAAAATAGATTATCAGTCAAAGAACAAGTACATTGAAAGGGTTTCAAGGAAGACATTATGGATCCCTCCCCCTTGTGTTAGTAACATTCTTAGCAATGCACTAAAAATTGGGGGGGGGGGTTTGATAGGATTGGGAATGGCCAAATTAAAAAAAAGTATATAATACTTTTATAGCACAACAGAAAATTAGGGAGGATTTAATGGGATTGAGAATGGTACAACAAATTGTATGTGCAATACAAAGCATTATTAAAATGTACTCATCAAGGTAACATAGCTCTATGCTCTTCTATGTACCAGAGTATTATCTTTTATAAACCTCTTGCAAGGTGCCTCTGTGTGTGGAGGCAATTGAAGAGTCAGGACCAACATAGATGCTTATTTCTAAGATGGTAATGCCCAGTGCTCTTGACAGCTACCACATTGAAGAAAATACTTAAAAGTCAATGTTATTTGTGGAGGAAAGTGAAGGAAAAAGTGATTTAACCTTTTGTGTGCTTAAAGTTAGCTGAACCACACATTCTAATGCCTGTATGACAATGTTTTATTGGTTTTGTGGAGTAGTAACTTAGCCTGTGCTCATATGAGCTATTACAGCAGTTGATAACATGCAGATGGACTGGGAAGAAAACACATTGTGGGTTGATTACTCTATGTATTTTAGTGGTTATTTACTGTCCTAATATTCAGAAAACATGCTGGGTTGAGGTGTGCTATATCTTCATTATGTTCTAGGTTCACAGGAGGTAGCTGTATTAGGCTGTTGCAGCAGAAACAAGAAATAGTTATGTGACACCTTGAAGACTAACAAGTTTTGTTTGTTGTAAGTTTTCATGGACGACATCTGCCTTGATCTCTTCATCTGATGAATTGGGCTTATGCCAACTACATCTTATGCCATATGATTCTTTCATCCTTTAGTTATTACTTTAAAAATACATCAAGAGATTGATGCAGATTGCAGGGGAACTGCAAGAGGCATCATAGTATTTTTAGGGTTGTTAATAAGAGTCAGTATTGGTTTGTGGACATCACAGGATGGCAAGCCTGGAACATGTCACATTAACATGCATAACTCTTAATAGTTTGTGACTGTGATTGCATTACTGTATAAGAGCCAGTGTGGTGTAGTGGTTTGAACGTTGGACTATGACTATGGAGATCAGGGGTTGATTCCCTGCTTGAGCATAAAAACCCATTGGGTAACCTTGGGCAAGTGACACACTCTCAACCTCAGAGGCAACCTCTCTCCTTGAAGAAACTTGCCAAGAAAACTTGCCAAGATAGATTCACCTTAAGGTTGCTATAAGTAAAAAATGACTTGTAGGCACACAACAACAACAACAATCATACAGATAGATCAAACATTACTGTAATAAATTGCTTTGAATCGTAGTTGGATGAGACCTCAAGGACCATCCAGTCCAACATCCTGCCATGTAGGAATACAGAAGTTAAGCATCTGTGACAGATGGCCAAACCTCGAAAGAAGGAGACTACATCCAGAGTATTCCACTGTCAAATATTCTCTGTCCTAGTCTCTGGAGGAGCAGAAAATAAATTTGCTCCACCTTCTGTATGACATCCTGTTAGATATTTAAGCAGGGCTATCATATCACCTTTAAACCTTTTCTTCTCTGAACATACCCACTTCCCTTCTCCTTGTAGGTCAGTCCTCATACATAGATCATGGTTTCTAAACCTTCACCATTTTGGGTGCCCTCCTCTTGACACACCCCAGCCTGTCCTAGAACTGGACACAGAATTCCAGGTGAGACCTGACCAATGCAGAATAGAGTGGTACTGTTACTTCCCTTGATCTAAAAACTGTACTTCTATTGATGCAGGTTAGAGTCACATTGGCTTTTTTAGCTGCCACATCATCACACTGTTGACTCATGTTCAACTTGGGGTCTCCTAGGACTTGTAGATCCCTTTCACATGTAGTCTTGTTAAGCTAGGTGTCCCCCATCCT